GCCCCTCAAACACAGGCACCCCCGCCATGGCTGTACCTAGGCTCCAGGGCAGAAGATCCTGTGTCAAAGCAGGACCCAGCCAAGGACAAAACTCAACATCTAATTGCCTCTCCAGGCAGAGTAGATTTGAAAGCACCCACGCTCCAGCCTGCCCTCCTGGTGTCCCTCCTTCTTTGCAAGAGCAAAGTCCAGCCCTGGCTGAGCAAGGCCCCTCCTGATCCCATGCGCCTGGCCAGAAGGATCTGTAACCCCAGAGGCTTCCCATGCTGTGTGAGAGCAAAACCCCCTGCTCGGAGGTCACTGCCCCACGCTCCAGCACTTCCTCACTCCTGGAGGGATGAATGGTGAGGGGAAGCCATGCAGGACATAAAGCCCTGGGGACCAGCTCTGCGCTTCACTGTCAGCTTGGAGACATGGGCACCTCTCTGGCCCCTCAAACACATCTGCGAGATCCCCCCCAGCACCCAATTGCTGCCATTGACCAAGCTCGGAGGGATCGACACGTTGACCAGGCCGGCAGAGGAAGACACGGATCCAGCACACAGGGAGAAGAACCTGTGCGGACCCGTCCCAGGCAGACTCAGCAAAGAACCCCCCGATTTACCCAATATCATTGTGCCAGCCCCAATTTGGGTTCAATTTGCCAAATTGTTTTGGCGTGGGAATAACTGTTTTGGGGCAAAACTCCCAACCTGGCAGTGGGCGGAGAGCCTCCCCATGCTGGGCCCAGCACCCAAGGGCGTGGGTGCCCCCCGCCCCCTCAGCATGTTGCATCCTGCACCTCTGCCGCTTTGAACCCACCTCCTGTGTCTCCCTGCAGCGGCTGGACGGGCGGCCACAGCCAGCACCCTTTGCCTTCGCTCCACAGCACCCCAAGCCCTGCACCGGGGCACCTGGCCACCCCGCCAGCACCTTTCGGAGCCATGACAGCAGCGCAGAGCCACAGCCTCTCCCACCTGCCTGCATCCACTTGTTAAACACAGCAGAGGGCCCCCAGAGAGCCCTGGGCCGGTGCCCCAGGCAGGGAGGAAGGGGACTCAGCCCAGGGCTTGGCTCATCTCCCCCCACGCCCTCCAGGAATGACATGACTGGACAGACCCGCTCGCAAATCGCTCCTCGAGAGCTCACGCACACGCTGCTGACACCGGCGGCTACCCTGTAATAACCCACTGCCCGTGTCGTTACCATTAATTATATATTAACATACCCCATAATCTTAACTGCTGCTAAATCGCATCTCGGGGCGGGGGGCGAGCTGCTTTCAAAAGCCACCTGGCTGGTTCTCCCTGGCTCTTACACCACCTGCCCCAGGAGAGGGGCCAGCGGCTGTGCGGATCAGGACTGGGACCAAGAATCATGGAATTGTTTGGGTTGGAAAAGCCCTTTAAGCTCACCAAGCCCACCCATTCCCATAACCCTGCCAGCCCACCCCTAAGCCCTGGCCCTAAGCACCTCAGCTGCCCGGCTTTTAAATACCCCCAGGGATGGGGACTCAACCCCTGCCCTGAGAAGCCCCTTCCAGTGCTTGACAGCCCTTTTTGGGGAAGGAATTTTTCCCAATGTCCAACCTAAACCTGCCCTGGCACAACTTGAGCCCATTTCCCCTCATCCCATTGCCCGTTCCCTGGGAGCAGAGACTGACCCCCCCGGCTCCCCCCTCCTCTCAGGCAGTTGTAGGGAGCGATGAGGGCTCCCCTCAGCCTCCTCTGCTCCAGGCTGAACCCCCCCCGCTCAGCCTGGCCAGGTCTCTCTGCAGAACCCTCCTCCCCTCCAGCAGATCCACACTCCCGCCCAGCTTGGTGTCATCTGCAAACTGGCTGAGGGTGCCCTCGATCCCCTTGCCCAGATCATGGATAAAGATGTTAAACAGAGCTGACCCCAGCACTGAGCCCTGGAGGACACCGCTTGTGACCGGCCGCCAGCTGGATTTAACTCCGTTGACCATAACACTCTGGGCTCGGCCATCCTGCCAGCTTTTTACCCAGCAAAGAGTGCGCCTGTCCAAGCCATGAGCCACCTGCTTCTCCAGGAGATGGTGTGGGGGACGGTGCCAAATGCCTTGCTGCAGCCCAGGCAGACAACACTCCTGGCCTGTGACCTCCACTGCGCAGGTCACAGAAGGAGATCAGGTTGGTCAGGCAGGACTAGGTTTCCAAGGCCAGAGGCACAGGGAAGGCACTGGTCTCCCCACCAGCCCGTGCTCCCAGGGGACCATGAGAGCGCTGAGCACATTACACAGAACCACCATATGTTCAGGGCCCCCAGCAATCCCCTCCTCAGCGCTGGGTTTCATCCCTGCAGCACCAGGGAGCCTTGCACGGCCGTGGTGTGACCCCAACAGTGCTTTTGGTGCTCATGTCCCCTAACCATCCCACCAGCAAAACCCTCAGCAGCCCTTACACTCTGCCCAGCCCCTCAGCATGCTGGAGGGCAGTGATTTTCTTCTTCCACCAAGTGAGGGAAATTTGAGAGAGAAGCAACATGGGGCCTGTGACCAGCGCTACTGCTTGCCCCAGTGGTGCCGGGACCTCCCTCACTTGCACCTCTGTGCCCTGGCTCTGGACTGCTCAGTCACAGCCATCGCCCCACGCCCGGGGCAGGGCAGGCTCTTGCTTCAAGCCCCTTTGTGGAACCACCTCCCAAAATCACGCCGATCCCACATCCGAGATGATCCCAGCCTCAGGAGCACAGCTTGCACCAAGGACGGATGTTTTGGGTCTGCGCTGACAGGGCTGCTTCTCCTTTTGATTCACATAGGGGGTAAAACACACGCAGCACCCTCACCAAGGCGCAACTTCAGGAGGAAATCAAGGGCCTTCGAGAGGTGCAGAGCATTCACCATTTCATCTCAAAGGCAGCACGCCGCCTTCCACGCATGATACAGCTCCAGCAAAAAAAAAAACCAAAAAAAACACAAACCAAAAAACAAACCCACAAAACTGGAAAGAAGCCCGGGGCTGGCTCTGCCCCGAAGCTGCAGCTGTTTCATGTGGCTCAAACGCCTCTCGCCCAGCAGCCCGCGCTTTGGAAGAGCCGCTTGCATGCACACAGGCACACAAAACACAACTGAGGAATGCCTTGCGCCCCGCTGTGTGTGTTCCGACACAGCCCCGTTTGCCAAGGAAAAAAAAAAAAAAGGATGTCTGTATATGCAAAGGCTTTAAGGAGGACGTTGCTTGCATTTTTACAGTTTTGTTGAAGGGGTTTCTAATATAAAAGCCTAAAGCAAATATAATCCAGAGAAAGGTTTGGGGTTGGGGGGTTTTTTTGGGTTTTTTTTTTTTGGTTTTTTTTTTTTTTTTTTTAAGTCTTTAATACTTTACCTGCCTGCGTAACACCTGCAGAGCTCTGACACTCCCCAAGAAACTTGTTTTACAGTAACTGTTCCAGACTGAAAAAAGGCAACTGCTCAAAAAAACCCAAACCAACCCACCGCTGCTGGGTGGCATTACACAGGCTGCCGGCAGGAGCGTTCTTTGACGAAGGAAGAACATTAAGCCCTTCTGGGCAGTCTGTCCCAGGATCAACATGGCAGCTTTACAAGCGTTACCTCTCAGGTGTTCCCCGCTTGTAACAAGTTGCCTGTGCAGTGAAACCCTCTCGGGGCAAGCTGAGCCCAGCCAGAGCTTGCCGGCCTCCACAGAGGCATGGAGCCCTGCGAGATGAACCCTCCTCACGCTGCGCCCAAGGATTCAGTTTGTTATGATGATGGAAGTTTTCTTTCTTTCCTGCCAGTAAAACCAACGGGGAATCTCACACACCAACTGCGGTGCCGCGGTTAAGCCTCTCTGTGAATACCAATGCTCACCACCAGTTTCAGCTATGCCAACAGCCATCACGCAGCACAGTTCCCACCTTGGCAAGGCCAGTTTTAGTCCTCCGAGGTGGACTTCTGCTTGTGTTTTGTCACCTGCAAGACTGCCCTGTCTATACGTTCACCAGGTGGTTTAAAGCATCCCAGTTGGCAAGTCCGCTGCATGCCAGTCACTTAAAAATAAATGGCTTTATTTCTAAGCAACAGAGGTTTGGGGACTACGGAAACTCTCAGCAGGGATTGGACATCCAACTGTCCTCCTCAAATCCAAGAGCCAGTACCAGCTGGTTTGGAATGATAGATTAAAACTCTCAATTCACCTCTTGCCATAACAAGCCCTTCCTAGGCCAGACAGACGGACGGTAACAAGCCCTTCCTAAGGAGCAAACTGCATCACATCTGCTGGCTGACAGAGTTTTACAGTTTTCTTTGAATTACCAAGTCATTGCCATCATTAGAGACAAGACACTTGCCTGGAAAGCCCAAGGAACTGTGTCAGCTCTTCCACTCCTCCAAAGCCTCCCCTGCACTGGAATAAACCCTTGTGTTCCTTTGGACCAAGTCAGAAATGGACTGTCTTGACCAGTTGGTGACCCACGTAAAAACACCCACTGCAATACATTTGCGTCCATCTACGAAAGGACAAAATATAATCACTTTATTTTCAGTATACAGGCTAAATCTCACTGTAAAACAAAAGTAATGAGTGAGCACACATGAATAAAATACTCTGCACTTAAAAAAAAAAAAGCGCCTGCTTTCGCCAGGTCCGCTGAATCCATTGCTTGCCGTG